AACATATAAGTGTAAATAAAAATTCACATCATGAATTTCGAGTCAAGTTCTCTAATTTCCCAGCAAAGTCGCTAGAAACTGTAGCTTGCTTTTCGTGCTCCTTTCGGATACAATTGCTCCACAGTTCGGACTCCCATGGTTCTGAATCTGATTTCACAAGTGCAATGTGAAACGGATAAACACAAAAGAGTCTAAATGCAGCAAACCTTTTTAGAAAATCGATTTTGAATCAAAGATGCCAAAAATGGACTGCATTGCCAGATTTCAGAGTCACCACCTAAATATTTTTGGAAAATTTAGGAAACTCGTGACTTATACCAAAAGGCCATTAGTCCGTTATCACCAAAGTGCCTCGGCTTGGAAACTTAGGTATGATAGGGGAAGATCATGATTTGAGCACCCCACTCACCCGATCAAAGATCGACCTCTACTAATCATGATGTGATTCGTATTTACATTATACGCTCTTGTTCTGATTATTATGTTACTTTTACTTTGTGTTGCACACAAGTATAGACTAATTCACAAAATTTGAAATGTTTTGATTTCATGTCTGTTTTGAAAATTGTTTGAATATGTATCACTTGAAAAAGTGATCTCATATGTACATTTATCAATTATCCCAACTTAAGCGAAAAAACCTTCATCCACAGGCATTCAAGAGATATAGCGAACAAGCACTTAGCCTCATGGTAATTATGTTTGATATGGAAACACTAACATTTATGCAATATGCTAAAGCAAAAAATGCTCACTTAGTACTCTAAGGCCAGCCAAAGAAATAAAATGGTTAGAAAAAATGCATGACCCTAACGATGTAAAATAACTAATGCAACACATACGGTTACTAGTATGACATATGAATCAATTTGATAGTATCTAGTTAGCACATTTTTGAGTAAGAAATAACCACAAAGTTGGAATGATGTATTGAGCCAAATGCATGCAAAATGAATATGGTAAGCATGGTAATGATATGAAAAATGTAAGACATGATGCTACCACTATAAACAGATAAATAAAAGGGAGAAAGAAATGGGGTTGGAAGACATACATAATATGACAACTTGCCTTCACGCAGGAGGGTTCGAATAAAGGTCCTAACTTAAACTAACTATTACAATATCAAATAAATTAATTAACTAAACTAACTACTGATTACAATTTAAAATTAATCTAAGTAATGAACAAATTATTACCAGTCGTTAATGAACAACACCGAATCAATGCATGAAGGTGAATTTTCACCCAAGGATGCTTTTGTTTTGCTGCTAGAACTTTTCTGTTCGCAGTCAAAAAATTACTCTATTTTCAGCCTCAGCCTTTGCTTTATGCTGCCATAAAAATGGCACTGCTTGGTCAACAAAAGGTGGCCAGTTGGCCAGATAAAGTGGTCGGCCGGATAGTCAGGTGGCCGGCTGGCCACTATCTTGGGGATCTGTCCTGTTGCAACAGAAAGTAAATAAAGCACAAACAGAGTGTTACCAGTGGCTGTTTTTCCTTTCTGCCTCTCTCTATCATTAAATAGATCAAATGAGAGGTAGGCTTGATTTGCAAACCACCAATACACGAGCTTGTTGCGTAATGATCTATGAGTCGACGGGACAAAAGCTTAATAAATGAAAATAAAAGACCAACAAGAACCTCCTCTGTATCATGGAGTTGTCTCTCTAGGGAAGTGATAGACATCTTTTCTCGAGTCATTAACATCACTAATGAGGATGTGATGACTCGAGACACGATTGGTTCAATTAACGTTCGATTGAACCCAAACCAAATTTTATTACTCTTGCTTCTTTTAGTCCAATTTTATTAGCCTCTTTCAATCTCCTTTCCATTCTTTAATCAATTAGTCTAAATATGAGAGTTAAGTCCACTAAAAGGAGGGAAGTGTCAAACAAGAAGTTGTTTTGGGCATGAGAGATATGTAATGCTCTGGTAATGAACCTCCGAAGAGATTAAACCATTAAGCATAAAAGGTCTCTTTCTGAAGTTTAAACAACACTCGTTTGAAATAACTCTCAAACAAATAAAAAGCCAAGAAATGAGGGAGAGTGCAGAGGTGATTATATGTGAACACAAATATGGAAAGTATGAAATAAATGCTATCAACTCAAATAAGTTAGTGTCTAATGCCTAAACCACCAAACCTATGAGAACTACAACACTACAAGCATACTATACAAAGCATGAGTGAAGTAAACACACACAAAAAATCCTAAAAATTACAAAAACAGTGCTGAAATTATCAAGGAAAAGCTTGAAAAAGTTAACTAAAATAATGGAGAAATAAAGCTAGTAAGCCTAAGAAGGGATAGCTATCCTCTCTATTTTTGGGACTTCAAAACCACATTTTTAGCCTTTGAAAAACTCTAAAAAATAGTGGTAAAAAGTTGGAAAAGAGTTGAGGAAGATGTGGGAAACACAAGGGCAAAAGCTTAGAAAACAAGGTTTAAAGAAATGTGGTTAACCCCTCCACCTTAGATAGCTTTAAGCCACAAGTTTAAGCCCATAAAAACAATGTAAAAACAGTTCAAAAACAACAAGAAATATAAGGGAGAAGTAGTGTAGAGATGCTTAAAAGTATACCTCTAGAAGAGAGGTAACTCCTTTGTTAACAGACCAACAAGTTCTCACTCTTAAGGGCTGAGATTTGAGTTCAAAAACCTCAGCAAGAAGAGCTAAATTTTTGGTTTACAAAGTGTAAAGAGAGAGTATTTAGGTTGCAAGAAAAAGAGAGAGAGTGTGTGTGCGTGTGTGTGTGTGTGTGTGTTTTACAAGTCTTTGGCCTTTGATGATTTTTCTAACCTTAATTTCAAGAGAGGTGGTCATGTATATATAGAAAAACCAGTGCCTATGTCGAACACAGCTATATAGAGGCAGCTAGTGTGGTGCATGCACATGGGGGACAGCTAGCAGCAAAATGTCTGCCAGTCAAGAAACCTGGCCGACTGGCCACCTAGGGGCTGGCAGACCACTAAATTCTGGCCAGCCGGCCACCTGTTGGCTTGCTGGCCTCTGAGTGGTCAGGCTTGGAAAAAGTCAGTTTTTGGGAATCAAAATAGGTTTGGTACAAAGGCGATACAAAATTCTAGCCTCTGGAGTTGGAAAATGGATGCTTTTTTGTTGAGGAACTTGCACAATTTGTACAACGTAGTACTTCATCATCGAGTGATCAACCTGAGGTGCCCAATGCTTAAGAGCGGTCAAAAATGGAGTGTCTGTGTACCTAAGGTAGGGGTGGGCGCATGCTGGGCTGGGTTGGACCGAGTTCGGGCCTGGCCGACAATATAATAAAGGATTTTGTGTTTATCTAAGTTTGATCCGGTCCTAATATTGGACCTTTACATTTGTCCAAGCCCGACCCAAAAAATAATTATAAATTCCAAACTTACCCACCGAGTTATATGTTCAATTTTTTTAAAATATTTCATAATTAAATTCAATCACACATTATATTTCGTAAATAAATATATTGACATCATTATAAATTGAAAAATTTTGTGTATAAATTGAAGGATTTATTAAATAATTTAAATCACACATTATCATAAATGTGAGTTTTAATAAAATCAACAAAGATAAAATTTACATCCTAACAAAAACTATATATTTTAATGTATTAAAATTAATTAATTTAATAGCGGGTCGAGTCGGGCTGGGCTGGGTTGGATTGGGTTGAAAATAAAAATTCTAAACCTAATCCATTAATATATCGGGCTGAAAATATTGGCACATCCTAGCCTTATGGGCTAAAACAAATATTTCCCAACCTTAAAAAAATAGGATTAGACCAGACAGAGATTGGGCAAGCCAACGTGTCGATATCCACTCCTAATCGGGGGGCAACTATGCTACACTTACATGGACTTGATGCACTTCTTTTGGTTTGCATATATTTTTTTTGCTCTTCTTTAACTCTTAGTCTATTTTTACTCCTCAATTCACTTTCCAAATATAATTAAAATGTTTAACTCCATACAGACTAATAAAAATATTTTTGAAAAAAAAATTGTTGCATACATCATATATTTTATTAATTTGACTTAATAATTAATTAGCATAAAGAACAATTTATTATGTAATTGGAAATTTGATAGAATGTAATTTTTAAAAAAGAAAGGAATATTTCATATTTTTCTAAGAAATTTCAGGATGCATTTATAATTTAAGTAAATAAAAAAACGTAATGCACGACCAAACAGAGCGGGCCCCAAAACAAACAAAAAAATAAAAAACCAGAAATCCCATTCAGAATCCACATGATTGGACGGCCTGTTTTGCAGCTATGCGACAATTCAATTGGAAATTTGCTCATATTTTAAGCTCCACCCCCACCTAACCAAAATTTTTAAACAGGGTGATTGCGCTATAGATTTTTCTTTTAACTGTTTTTTAGATTTATTTCGAATTATTTTGAAAAATAAACTAAAAGTTAATTTTTTAATTTTTTTAAAATAAACCTTTGTCAACTAATTTAATTTTTTTTTTAATTTAAATTTTTTTTTGAATCACATCATTTTTTTTATTTTTTTATATTTTTAAATTTTTTTAAAAAATCAAAAAATTAACTTTTAACTTATTTCCTAAAATAAAATTAAAATAATACTTAAATATAAAATAAATTAAAATAAGGGGATGCACCAATAAATCCCAAATTAATAACTTATACACTGTTTAGTCCTAAAAGTTTTCTTATAGACTGAAAGGTCCCATTACAATGTTTCAAACATCAGATTAATGTTTCGAACATTAGATTTCGAACATCAGATTAATGTTTCAAACATTAGATTGATGTGCAAATGGGACTAAATGGAGCATAAGAAAACTTTTAGGACTAAATGGTTCAACTTTTCAGAAACTAGGACTTATGGGTAAATTTTCCAAAAAATTATCTAACAAGTTTTTATGACAGTTTCTAAAATTTTTGTAAATATAAATCGAAAACTGAAAATGAAATGGTTAGCAAACAGGCCTTAGATGGTAAAAATGTCGTAAAATTAACAATTTTGAAATTGTGATTTCTCTCTCTCTCTCTCTCTCTCTCTCTCTCTCAACTTTGCGCTCTCAGATTCTCTCTCGAAGGTTCGAGCTTTTACGGATCTCCTGTCTCTGTTTGTGAGATCTCTTCTTTTCCCTTCTCTTGATTTTTCTTTTCTGATCGATCTTTCTTATCTTTCCGATTCATCTTTGTTGTGTTTCTTTTTCTCTCTATTTTTGATGTATGACCATATAGCAAATTAACGTTTTGATTTTGGGTTTTCACTTTCTTCAGGTTATCATTTAAAATTTTCTTTTTGGGTTGTGTACTCTTTATAATTATATAAATATAAACACGCTTTGGATGTGATTTTATATCTAAATTTTTGGGGGGTTTGCTGAATGAAAAATATGAAGTGGTTTTTAAAACTGATTACCAGTTATTTATATTTACTTGATGTGGCATGCTTATTTATTCAGTAAGCAATTCTGTGTGGATTAAAACCTTTAGAAATGGTTGGGTTCAGAGAACTTCAGGGCTACATGGCTCCCGTTTTGATGATTAGAACTGTTCATTTTATAGAGTCGAGCATATCATTCATGAAAACAATTAGATCCATCTGATAGTTGTAACTTTTTCATTTTATTGTATTTGTCATAAAAAAAAAATGGATGGTCTATTTTTCAAGACATATTTTTTGTCTTACTTTTCAAAGACAAATGTGATAAAATAAAAAAGGTTACTATTATCGGATCGTCTTAATTTTTTCATTGATGATATTGACTAACAGGCTTACAAAATGAATATTTCGAATCATTAAAATGGGACCTATGAACCCCTCAAGTTCGCTCAAATTCATATTTGAACATGAGAAAAGCCAAACCCTTTTAGAAATTGAAATTGTGTGACAAAAATTTTGTTAGTTGTGTACTTCACATATGTAACTAGAAGGCTATACAGATACGTGGTGATGCGTTTGCAGACCGTCGTCTGACAAAAAAAGCTGTAGAAATAAAATATCTGGATCGTTTGGATAGGGGTAATTTGGGTATAAGAAAATGTGTGACATACCTTCAAAATGAGAACTTCTATTGCAAGCCACTTTTTTTCTTAGTTTACTTCATTTTGTTTGTTTAGATATTAACCACTAAACAAAAATAATTTCTTTGGATAAACTACTGAATTAAGTTTTCGTTCCATAGTTGATATCCAAACCATGAATTTTTGTTCGATAGTTGTGTCTGAATTCTGAACTAAAAAATTGGTGTGAACTAAAAATTTTTATGCTGTGCAAACAGAATACATACATGTATATATATATATATTTGTGTACTTCTTTGCAAGTGAAATAGTTCCTTGATTTATGTGTTCATCTGTATAGAACCCTGAGAAAAATTGCCTCATTTTTTGCTACTTCCAGCCCCCCTGTTCCAATTCCTGTTTAAAAATTGCCTTTTTATTTTGCTATGTTTGTTAAAATTTTCTCAGTGGAGTGTGCTTTACATTTAAGGCTTCAAATATTTATGCACTGTGCAGTGAGTGTAATTTATTTTCATTCATAGGTCGGGTAATATTTTAGTGGCTGATTGTTGTATGATAGTTTGTATGCTGTAGATTAATATCAATTTGTCTATTACAATTCCACATCTGTTTCTGTGGTCTCACAAGATGTTACTTTGAATTTCAGATGCCCATTTGCTGCCAAATTTGTAACGCAATCCTTAGTTGGTAGATTGAGTCTATATATTTTTAGACTGACACATCAATGACTTTTATTGTTGGCGATATATACTAGTAATTAGAATTTAGAATTTAGGTCAGTAGAACAAGATGGATACCAAAATGAATTCCTTCAACAATCATGGTATATGCATTATGGGTGTGGCTTAGAATCCAACAGATGTTTAAACATTTTGCATTGGGCATATTCTTCTAAAAGAACAATATCGGAATTCCTCTGCCATTTTAATGTAAATATAGTGAAGCAGCTGAAAGTGTAAATCATCCTCTCTTTGTTTCATCTGAATAACAAATCGAAAGTAATACAGTCCGTGAGAGGGAGAGGGAGAGGGAGGAAAGGTTTGCAAAAATTATTTTCCTTGAATCATCCATTGCCTTTATGAGTTGCCTTCATCTTCTGCCACAAAACTGCTGTGATTCAATGCCTTTGTTTCATGTCCTTTTTTGTGTGGTAAAGGGCTTGATATCAAACAAGTTTTCAAGTAGGAATGTCCATGAAATTCATTTTTATACATTTAAGTTATAGCACCATGCTGCATATTCACAACAAGTCTTCTTATTTTACTCCAAGGGTCATATATATGTTGGTTAATATTTCAGACATAGACATCTGAAAATTGCATCAATTCATGAGGCGTCAGCTGCCTTATATTGTGAGGCCCATAAGAAAATGTTGATGGGAATTGTTTTCATGATTTAGTTTGCTAGTAAATAAACATTTGTAGCTTCTCACACGAATGGAAGACATAAATTATATGTTTTTTTTTTTTTTTCTCCTTTTTTAAATCCCATTTAATTTGAAGCACATTTCTTAATAATTTACAGATCTTGTCTAAGAAAGTTATACAATATACAATATATACGTGTTTTCGTGTCCCCATATCCATACCTTGCTTTTGGATGCGTATCCCAGTATCCTAAGATTCAGATTTAGGAGGATCTGATACTTGAACATGCATCCACACCAGATACTCATACCTGATTCCATGTAACATAGCCCTTGGCTTTGAGTATATGTGCCTATTACATCAGCCAGCAGAGGTGTTGGTTCCACATGTCAAGTAGCAAATGGTTGCATTTATACACTATGCAGATACATGTTTTAATTATGATTTGTCATCTCTAAGAAACTAATTTTTTGTTAGTGACTAAATGTATTTTTGTTTCGGTTTTAGGTCTTAATATGTCGACTGTGACAATTCCTTCACCTTGCTTGTTCAAAAGTGCACCTGTAACCAGATCCTCTGCTTTGATCAAGAATCCAAAGTCTTTGGGTTCAGTAAAGAGTGTTTCCAAGTCATTTGGCATGAAGTCCCCCTCCTCCTTCAGAGTATCTGCCATGGCAGTGTACAAAGTGAAACTGATTGGACCCGATGGCGAAGAGAACGAGTTTGATGCCCCCGATGATACATACATCCTTGACTCAGCTGAAAACGCAGGACTGGAGTTGCCCTACTCGTGCAGGGCTGGTGCCTGCTCTACGTGCGCTGGGATGATGGTTTCTGGATCCGTGGACCAATCAGACGGTTCATTTCTTGATGATAATCAGATGAAGAAAGGGTACGTGCTCACCTGCGTTTCGTACCCCACTTCTGATTGTGTGATTCAAACTCATAAAGAAAGTGAACTTTATTGAGTGATGTTTGTGGTGTGTCTGTTTAATTTGCTATAGATTTGGTAAGAAATTTATGTCATATGGTGCTTTTGGCTGTTTAGTGTATGGGACAACACTTGTATCAGTCGCTTTAATTTATAATTTGATAATGTCTTTAGTCATCTACCATTGAAGCTAGAAATTTCCCAAATTTATGTTTGTTTTGAGTATGAAGTGGGTGTTATTATGGTGATATCCTTCTCATGTACCCATCATATTATCAGAAATTTGATCAGGATTGTAGGACACTAGTTTGGTCAAGCGTTTTGGATAGCACTAGGATTTAAAATTTTGTAGAATTTTAGAGTGAATATGATTCTAGTCACAAAATTGTGTAAAGTCACAAAACGATCCTGATTTTGTCGGATTTTTGTCTTAATTTTCGTTTGGGATGCTGGTGGGGTTGTTTTTTTGGCTAAATTAGTGATAAAAAGACAAAATAAGATAAAGTCAATAAGACAAAATGTTATATTCAAACTATAATCATTTCATTTTTTTTTTTCATAAAAGTTAAAAAAAAAAATTAAAAAATGAACCTAAATAAACTTTTTAATCGGGATTAAAATAGTTAAAAAGTTCAAAAAATCAACTCACATGTTAAACTATATCTTATTATTATTATTATTATTATTATTTTGTCTGATATATCATGTATCTATATCAAAATTTTGATTAAAAACTTCCTCTCCAAACATCTCTTATAAAGAATTTCATTTGGAACTTGAAAAAAAATAAAAAATATATATAAAAGGTTTTATAGATTAATTCCCCCCCACCCAAAATTAGTTTAGGAAACCAAATTTTCTCATCACGCTTTACTTGCTTGTAACTCTCAGTTTGATGAACAGGGAGGCCCTGAGGTGAGGCAACTAAGGTCGTCGTCTCAGGTCCTTAACTTTGAATAAAATTTAGGATCTCTAATTGGAAGAGTGTATTATGTCGTATTATTTTATAATTACATCAATATTAGCTCAATTTATTTATTTTGATGTTGTTATATGGTGTTATTTTGATTTGTGTCCAATTCAAGTTTAATGTAAAAAATTTCATTTTTAGTTAAAAATAACTTAGCAAGTCTATGGACAGACTAAAATTTTTCTCATACTTTGAATTTTATAAAATTCATTTCTACTAAATGAAATTATTCATAGAATGTTTGATTTTAATTCAATTGCATTTTTCTAATTAAAAAAATTGTACCTTATTACTATATATTTTTTACTAGATTGACTCTAAAATAGGTAACAAGAAAATACATAACGTAAATAAAAAATAGATATTAGCCTTACTTATTATTTTACATACTTTTTTATTTAGTTAGATGGAATTAAATAAAAGATTAAAAAAATGTCATGGCATCTCTTAGTGAACATTAAAATATGGGGCATTTACATACAAGTCCCATATTGTGAACTTATAATCCATTAAGTCCTAGATAAGATTATTTGCTCCTTCAAGTCTTATTAATTTTTAATAGACCAATTTACCCTTAATTTACCCTTCTAAGACCTCCTCCATCAATGCCAGATGTCTGACTGCATGTTTGGTGTGAATGTGTTCATTCTCTCTCTCTTACTTTTACAGCCACTCTCCAACAACTACAACCAAACATCCCCTTCTCTCTCATTTGTTTTTTCTCTCTTTTTTTAGTTTCAGACTCTCTCTCTCACATATAAAAAATGGAGCCCAAACTTTTTGACTTTGATTCCCTCCTTATCTATCTCAACACCGTCAACACCTACATCGACTCCCACACCATCATCGTTCTCCTCCACCATGCCAAATCAAAGCTCGTCTGCTCGATTTCCATATTCGATCACTAATCCTCAAAGCTATCTCTTTGTACCCACCACATATACATCCTAAGTTCATCCTCATCATGGATGATGTGGTTTCAGACCTAATCCCCTTATCATCCGCCATTGGTGACTACGAGCTTGGTGAAAAATGATGATTCTAGGTTCAACTGGGTTTTTCCTTTAAATGAGTGGGGGACTCGATCACATTAAACTACACCTCCAAGACCACGTCTTCCAAGAAAGAGGTAGTTCATTCTCACGGTACGATTTTCAATGGTTGTGCAAAAACTAAGAAATTTTCATAAACAATGGTTGTGTAAAATTGAGAAATTTCTCAATCTTTTCTAGTTTTAAAATTGAGAATATTATCAGTTTAAAACTGAAAAAATGATAATATTCAGAGTTTTAACACTAAAAAAATTAAAAAAATTCTTAGTTTTACTAGATATTTTTGTAAACTGAAATCATTCTCAATTTTAAATTGAGAACATTTTCAGTTTTGGAACTGAGAATATCTCAGTTCTTACCTACAAACTAGATCTCCTGGCCCATCTCTTTGGTCGATTTAATATGTTCTGTTCTGAACCTTGATATTGAACAATCAAGTATTTTAAGGGCTGGAGTTACACACACACACACAAAGTTGTTGCAAATTGAAGTGATCAAGGAAGAGAATAGATCGAAACGAAAGTGTAAAAGGTTGAGGCATCACAAACCTCCAACTTAAAAATTTTCAGATAATCCAAATGATCATCATCATCAAGTGTTTGAAAAGATCCATGAAGATGTAGACTCTGCTCCTCTTCCTAGTTGTAAAATTTCTTAAAGACGTTCCAAGTTCTCTTCTTTCTCTGAAGTTGCATCTCTAATACGTTAGATTCAAAAGGACATTAACGTCAACAAAATTCTAAAATGGGACTTGTGCGTCTAAAAACTATCTCACAGGACTTGAGCTACCATACCTACTGTCATTAGGACTTTTAAGTAATTAATCCTTAAAATATTTAACTAATAGTTCATGTTATTGAGTCGTGTCATACTTGGATTTATGTTAAAAAATAGTCAACCCTAACTTGCTAATTTTATATATTACTTGAGTTGTATCGAAAATTCTCATCCTTACCCCAAATTAATTTTAGTTATTATAGCATTGGTAACCTAAAAAATAAAGATTCAATTCAACTAATTGAAATTCAACTTTTACATATTGTGGGTGTTGACTTCCAACCTACACAACCAAAAAGGGAAACTTGATTGAAGAGCACCGGCAGAATAGATTAAACCCAACAACCTGCAGAAGAAGATGAGAATCTGACGATGGTTCGTCCACCTGGGGACACTCCGACGATCAAATCAGTAATCAATATGTCTCAAAGATAGCAAATTGTGCTTGAACTCACAAGAAAGAACTTCACAAATAAAAGCCTACCTCAGACCCACAAGGGTGCCCTGCTTTTATAACCGGTAGTGACTTGCTCTCATTAGAAGTTTCACTTCAATGGACTCAGGCTTAATGCTCATCCTAGACCCTTATCTAGATAGGGATAAACTCTTCTTGAGCCTTATCTTTATCCAGATTGAAATCCTTTCCTGTTTTAGGATTCTTGTCCCTTATCTGCTTAGAGCTGTGCTACGTAGCTCGAAAGAGAGGCCCCCAAATCCCCCCGAATCCAAAAACGACGTCGTTTCGTCGTTTTGAAATTTTTTTTTTTTCCCAATCAGAAAAGAAGAAGAAGAAGAAGGAAGAAGAAGAGAAGAAGAAGAAGGAAGAAGAATAAGGAGTAGCAGAGAGAGAGAGAGAGAGAGAGAGAGAGAGAGAGAGATCGGACGCGGAGGTGGAGTTGGAGGTGACGGCGGTCGGAGGTGGGGCTGCGACGAGCTGCTGTGACGGGCTGCGACGATCGGCCGGTTGATCTGCGATCGATCGGCAGCGGCGGGGGCGAAGAAGGGGCCCTCCCTCTCTCTCTCTCTCTCCATTCCCTCTTCTCTTTCTCTCTTTCTCTTTCTTTTTCTCTTTCTCTTCTATCTGTTTTGGGCTGTTCGGGGGGGCAAAAATCGGGGGAAAAATCTTTTCTCATCTGCTTATCTCGGATACCGGTATCCCCGTAAATAACCTCGGCCTAGCTGAGATTATCTCGACAACATGGCTAAGCCACGTGGCATCTCGGCTGATATTTCGACACCACCTTAGCCACGTGCTGTCTTTCACAAAATACTTCTCCACACACATACACACACACATATATATATATATATATATCTGTTATCTAAATTTTGTTAAATTGTAATGCAATAGAAATAATTTTTTGTCCTTTTAGTTTTATCCAAACAATTTTTTTATTTTTTATTTTTTTAAACAATGATATATGAAGGGCGGAATTTAAAAAATTAATCCGAAGCACCTAATAACTGAGAGTCGGTCCTCATGATGAAGCTACGACAGCAAATGGCTAGCAATTGATAGAGGTTTGCTGCATGTAGATTGATTTTAGGTTACTTTCTTGTTGATGTAGGGGTAAACACGACATCTTCTTAGATTTTGTTTGGAAAGAATTAATTAGCCTAGTTTGAAAAGAATTTTTAGTATTTTTTTTTAGGAGTTTTCTTAAGTGTGCAAGTGCACACCATGTGCCACTTACACAAAAAGTGTAAGTGTAAGGTGTAAGTATAAGTATAAGGTGTAAGTGTAAGGTGTAAGGTGTAAGTCGGTTGCACATGGTGTGCAACCTTAAAAAAGGTGTAAGTGTAAGGTTTAATTTTTTACAAAAGGTGTAAGTGTAAGGTGTAAGTGTAAGATATAAGGTGTAAGGTGTAAGTTGCACACCATAACCAAACCCTTTAAAGCGAAAAGAGATGAACGAGAAATTTTTTATTTTGTTTTAATATTGTCCAATTGATTCAATAGTTATCATTCTTTTTTAATGAAAAATGTGCATATGAGTGGTATGTGCAATGCTTTTAAGTACAAAATTATAAATTTGTTCAACTCAACGAATTAATCTCAATCAATTATGCTATCAATTTGATCCACTTGATACAAAATCTAAAATTAAGATTCAAAATTAAGCTAATTGAAAGCGTAAGAATTGAAATAATATAAGACATAAAATGTAAGGACTACTAATATAATTTGCCTATATTTTTATGAGGAAATTATACCCTAAATTTCGAGAAAAATACAATTTATCCTATACTAATTATTACAATAATCTCAATTTTAGTAAATCTAAAGAAATCGAAACTAATGCAAACAATACGTAATATATTGAAATCAACAAAAAGAAATGTATATTTTAGTAAAAGATATATGATAATATCATTTTTTCA